TTTTGAAGTGATAATCCAGCAAGTCCTTTGAATGATTAAAGGCAATGAATTTTGGACAAAATGAGTTGCTTCTTTCGGAATTTGTTTAGAAAACTGAGTTTAAAACCATTGGACACTTCAGCTGATATATGTCATCTTTAATGAACCTTGCCAGGCACAGAAAACCCCTTGTTTTTCCAGAAATCAGGAAGGTTTCCTTAGGATGGAGGTAAGCCTGGGAATCTCTGCCTTCATGGCATTCCCTGTGACCCAAAAGATGCCATTTCTGCCTGATTTTGGGATCAGAGACAGAATCCTAAATGGCTTTTCTATTAATAACTGCTGAAATAAAACTGGATTCCTCACAGGTACAAGGTGTGATGTATCCATTAAATTTTCCCCCCTAGGAAACAGTAAATCGAAATTAGTTGTAAAAAAGGATGAGTATGTGCCACTGCAAAGGAAACTGGATGGACTTGGGGAAAGGAAAGCAGTGAAAATGATGGAAAAATAAAGTTTCCCTGTTAAACTGATAGGGAAAAAAAGACTGAAACAAGACAGAAAAGAACTTAAAATGTTTTTCATTAAAAAGTAAGAACAAAGTCAAGATAGAGGGGATGAAAGTCTGGAAAATACCAAAAACAGATTTTTTTTTTCTGCACTATAAATATTGTTGTAAGGAATAAAGTTTCTATAATGTGCTGTGAAATTAAAAATCAACCAGTGGTGTCTTAAGATAAACATGATGGGATGTGTTAGGTGATTCTGATTCAGCTTTTTCATTCTCTCAGCTTTATTAATTCATGGATTAATTTACAATAGTTTATCAGATGTCATTTTACATTGATGGTTTTAGTGAAGTTTGAGAAAGAAATAAAATTATTCTCTGGGTAAGGAATTCTGCAAACTGAAGATAAGCCCTGACTTAGCTTAGACAAGTTCTGAGTGTTAACATCAGATTTTTCTAGAGAGAATAGTGTATTCCTATATTTCCTTTAAATCTTTCTTTTATAAAGAAGCTGTGGAGATGCTGAGGAGCTGCCCCAGTGGAAATGGTTCAAGTTTTATTAGTGGCGTGTTGGGTGATTTATTGGCCCAGGCTCTGTTCTAGCTGACATGGCTTGTAATGACTTTGTTCCTCTGAGCAGCATTTTCCCAATGTGCTGTTTGTTTAAAAGACAAGTGGGAGGACAGGAATGTGTTGCTTTTCTCCTCTTGGCTGCTCTCTTTGTGTTCACATTGCCATCACTGAAGATCCAGGATGAGCTTTTGGAAAACAGTTCGAGGAAAAGACCGGAGCCTTGGTTTTCTTGTAGGAGCTCAAAACTGATGGAAAGATCCAGAGTCAGAGGAGGGGATATTTGTGAATTTTCAGAGACAGGTAGAGGAGGTGATTTGGTTTATTACAGGTTTATGGATTTGAATCTCCAATGGGTGGGGGAGATTTTCATCATTACCATTCAAGGGTAGTACTTGAAAATGAATGGAAAATAAAGAAACCTTCTCGTTTCTCAGTCACAAAGCAAACATTTGTGTAGCTCTTCAGAGAACTTCAGGTAACTTGGGATTCCTGTATTCTTAGTAAAACAAAATATATAAAATCAGCACAGTCACAATTAAGTTAAAAGCATCTTTGAATGCAAATATCACAAACTATATGTTTATTGCGGTTGTCATTTTATAACCCAGTTATTAAAAAAAAAAAAAGGAAGAAACTGAGAAATTATAACACTGAAGAATTTACCTTTGGGGCTGTAGATAACATTTACATCCTGGAAGTGGCAAAACCAAGGCACAGGATTTGAGATCCCAGGGTGTCCTTATCTAAGCCCCTCTTCAGAGGGATCCTGGAGCCCATTTCTTATTCCTCACTTTTTTGTTAGGGCAGCACCAGTTGGAATTTTTGGGCAGAGGAACTTGATAAAATTAGCAGAAAAAACTTGGAACTTTGATTCTGATTTTCAAAATGCAGTTTTTCTTCTTTTTTCCCCCTAACTTTGAAGTTACTCATTTCCTCTGCACAGAGGCAGAAATAACTGTGTACTCAAAAGTTACGAAGTAGTTTCCAGTAGGTTTTCACCTATATTTTTGTGAGTGATTAGCCCAATTAAGCTGGTTCTAAGATCAGATATTTTTTCGTACTTGCTTGGTTTGCTGCACTTTTGGAAGAACTTTTCCTGAGTGATTCTTTCTTGGATGACCTCTCCATGCTGTCATTAAAACTTGGAAACTTTGGTCTTCTTGACAGTTAGTTCTGCATTCTCATTATGTTCATTCCTATTGTAAACACGCTAAAGTTGCTGCTGTTATTGCTTAGAATGGCTTTTTCCTCTGTTGTTTTGAAGTCTGGTAGAAGTAGAAGTTAATCTTTAAGAGAGTGGGGCTGGTGAGGATTGGATGGCCCAGCTCGATGGGTCATGCTGTGTCTGTCTTTTCATTTGCCTCATAGATGATGTTCTGCTGACTCCAGCTGTTTTTTTGGAAAGCAGAAAAACAATTTGCTTTTCCTTCCCATAAAGTATAACCCTTTGTTTATCCTTGTGCTGCTGCAAATTTCCAAAATGCAAAGACTTGCAAAGAAAAGAAAGGGAGGAAATAGCTCCTTTTTTTACACTGTTTTTCATATCAGAAAGTAGAGTTTAGGACCGAGCTGAGTTGTTGACCTTTATGGAGTTTATTCTTAGAATTGGCTGATTTGTGTGTGGAGTCTGATTGACTGAGCCCAGTTCATGGGACAAACCACGGGCAGTGGGTTTGGGAAGGGCAGTCCCAGCTTTTCTAAGTAACTCTTCTGTTCAGTGATCAGTTTTGGATTTGAAGAATTCTTTTTGCAGTTCTTCAATGACTTCAGTTCACTGAAGTAATTGAGAACAGCTCCCTTTTCCAAGCAGGACTTGGTTTTTTGCTGGGAGTTGTTGAATTGCTGAGACTCCTTTAGTTTTCTCCTGCAGGGATGTTACAAATTTGGGAAATGCAAGTCACTGGTTCTAAAGTCACTGTAGAGATTTACATGACGAGGGTTATCATCTGGCAACTTTTAGTGCTATATTTTATACATAAAAGGGAAGGTAAAAGAAAGGTTTGGGGGACCTGGATTCCTTCCTGACCCAGATAAGAGCTGCCGAGGCAGAAGTCGGCATTAAAACCTCACCGCTCCTGATCTATAATGTCATCGGAAGAACACGTTTGTATTTACAACCCAGAGCTGTATTTACAACCTCTGTTTTGCTTGCTTTGTTCCTTAAGAGGCTCTGGCTGCCCACATTTTATGCACTCTTGGAATGCAGTAACAATTGTGGCATCGTCTCTTCAGAATTCGTTTTCCTTCCTGAGATCAGGCCGGCCATAAGGCCTCTCAAAAGCCTCACTGGCTTCTGCCTGAGATGGCTTTAATTGGATGAATTAATTCTCTCCTTCCCTTGCTTTCTGATCTTTCAAACAGCTCACTGTGATCTTTGGAATTTTTAAATTCCCTCAGCGCTCTGCTCTGAACAGTGAAATCCAGGATTGTTTATCTCGGTGGGGCCTACGCGGGCCCAAAAACGCATCCAAAGTTGTCAGATGTCCATTGAAACTTCCCCAAAGGCGTTAACACCTCCCCCACGCCCCACACGCCTTCCCAGCGCTTGGCAGGTGTGGAGAACAAAACCATTCCACTTCTGGAAGTTCGGCTCTCCTCAGGAGATGTTCTGGACTGTTTTGGAGCCTGCTGGAAAAGACCTGGATATTTGTGGAGATCTGGTTGTTTTTGCTTGCTGTGGGTGCAGAGCAGTGTCACCGTCTCAGAGCAGAGATTTAGAAAATAGAAAGCTTAACTGTGGCTGACTTTGGGCTTTATTTTTATTTTTATTTAGGATTTTATTTAGGATTTTAAGCAATAATTTGAATAAAAGTTGTGTTGTTTTCTGAAATGCTGTTTGCCTGCGTTCCTTCAGCCAGGGGTGCAGGAGTAGCTGCCCAGGGCTCCTTTAAATCAGACACACATGTCTGTAAGGTCTTCAATGTTTTGTTTCTTGACCAATCAGTGAGAGAATTTAAATTGCTAAATTGAGTGTATTTGCCTAAGAACTGATGAAAACTGAGATTGACCATTTGCTTGATAGCTTCTTCCTTTCCTCGGTTCTTTCCTCCTTATTTTTTCATGTAAAAATGCATATTTTTAAAATACAAATTAATGTAAATTAATTTGTAAAATTTTTATTTTACTTATAACATTTTATAAAAAGACGTATTTTAAAAACTTTATATATGAAATGCCATTTAATTAAGGGCCTGATTAATTTTAAGTCTTTCTATGTTTTCATTCACATCTATTTTCTCTTACAGGTATTTTCATGTTTTAATCCCCAGGAATAATTCTCTTTTCTAAGCTCATTTTTATCCATATATATAAATCTATTTTTAATGATAATATAAAGGTAATGGAAAACAGGTGAACAGTGGAAGCATTGCCACCAATTTTAAAGGAATTATGAAATTTCCCACTGTGTAAAGTTAAGTTTGTGCAAAAGTATATGGAGAGGCTGAGGGCTTGTTATAGAATTGTTAAAATCAAAACCAAAAGTATTTTGAAAGGCTGAGGGCTTGTATATAGAATTATTAAAAACGAAATCAAGAGCACAATACATCCTTTCATACAATAAAAATCTAGAAGAGCTTGAAGTGAGCAAACTGTTCACCAACAGAAAGGTGTCAATCAAATAAAATGAATTAAAATGTGAAGATACAAAACCAGTCGAGACAAACATCAATATTCCCTCACCCCAGAATGTCATTTTTGTATCAAAATGGCTTTAAAAATGCAAACATAAGGAGAAATGAATATTTACACATAATTAAATGTTTGAAATAGCTCATCTAACCACAGCCTTATCTCTAGAAACAAAAATGCAAGCATCCACTGAGTGATATTAGCAACTGAAAGGCCTTTGTTTAGACTTTTTGTTTTCTTGGCAATAAATAAAATTCCTTGGAAGAAGTCATTAAGATATTTCTTAATGTTGTCTGTTCAAACTTTGCAGGCTGCTATCCTTGTCCAGGGCCAAACATGAATCCTATTGCTCTTGGAAGCCGTTGGCTTGCTTATGCAGAAAATAAGGTAAGGAAGGGTTTGATATAAAAAAATACTTCTAGATTTTACATATATAGGGGGAAAAGGAAAGAAAAGGTCACAGGAAAAAGGTATGTTCAAAAGAAAGTCTGTAAGAGGAGTTGCATTAAAATGACAGACCTACATATTTTAAAATATTAGATCTGTACTCTGCACATTTGTTTTAAGCTCAATTTAAGGAACTTGGAAGGCAGAGAAGACAGCCATCAACATGTGTTTTCAGTGAGGTAACTCTATAATCAACCCATTTTGTGCTTGAAAAGTTTAGAGCATTTAATTACAGACACTTCTCGAGGTAGGCAAATTTGGGGAAACTGAGGCTGGACAGAGCCTGGGTTTGTCTGAGCCAACACAGCAATGAACTCTGTAGGTTAGAAAATAGCATTAAAATGTCCACTTTTGAACATCTTTGAAAAAGTTAAGCTCCAGGAGAAAAAAAAATAAATTTTTAAAGACTTTTTCATCTTTCTAGAGACAAAGAAAATAGATTGCCAAGCAAAGAAATAATCACTGCTTTTACCCAGAGAAGTGGTTGTGTATTTAAACCTTGAAGTGAAGCCTAAATTCGGCTCCCAGTGCCTTACTTTAATTTCAAAGCAGATGTTTTTTCTCCCTTCTACCTGTGACTGGAGAAGCTGTTTCTAGAGCTGAGCCAGAAATTATCAGAGGCAGATTTTAGAAATGTATTTGCTGTTACACCTCCTCCAGCACAGCTGATTTCTTCCAAAATTCAGGCCTGCCTTTCCTTTTCTGCCACATCTTGCTGATGCTGGAGAACTTAAGCCTGGTCAGCATGGAATTTAAAATGTATTGCTGCCAAAATGTCAGCAAAGGAATTGTATCACAAAAGGAATTTAAATGACTTGTGTGTTCCCAGGTAAATTCACAGTGGGTTTTCCCTAGTTTATGATTTTTATTTAGATATTTAAATATAAGTGGGACAGAGAAACCTGTAGAAAGACATGCATCTTACAGTAATTTTTAATTTTATTCAGCTCAAATAGTTAAATAGGCAAGATGTTCTGTGTGCCAGCAAGAAATATCTGTATTTTTTTCTAATTTTGCATAGAAGCACAGATTCTATTGTTAGGGTTCAAAGGGAAAACCTGCTTTTGTAGGGTGATGGCAGGTACAAGAGTCTTGCTTTGATTTATTGATTTTGAAGGAAGGCAATAAAAAGCAAACCCCATGTACATTCCTTTAATCTATTAAATGCAAAGTTCCAAACAACTCTTTTCCTTTGTCATTTCTTTGCTTGCTCGTCATAAAAAGGAGGGGAAAGCCACACTCGGATTCTTAGAATGGCTGATATTTAATGTTACATATACATGGCTAAAGCTTTTGATTATATTTATTTAAATTTATTTGTGGTATTGCTGCCAGACCAAAAATCCCACCATTTCAAAGTTTATGAATTCTTAGTGAGTACTCATCTGGTAATTGAAAACTGGAGCGGGGGACGCGACAGTCTGGGTGGCACCCAGAAGATTATAAAAAGGGGTTAAGTGTCTCAGCAGGGCTTTTTGCTATTTGTAGGAAAAAACACACCACTGTACATGATAAATAAGAGCTCTGGTAATGGGTTATGGGTTTGTGCAGTTTAATAGTAGTGACTTGGTTGCTGTCTTTCTTCTTGTAGCTGATCCGATGCCATCAGTCCCGTGGTGGAGCCTGTGGAGACAACATTCAGTCTTACACTGCCACAGTCATTAGTGCTGCCAAAGTGAGTCCATCATCTGCCCTGGGAGAGCTGCTCCTGGAACATAATTATGAGGTTTCCCTGCTGAATTGGGCTGTGTGTCATCACCCCCTCCCTTCCCAGAGAGGAGAGCACACTGAGAGCCCTGCAGGCAGCAGCACCGTGCCTGCCCTCCCCATCCTCCGAAACTCTAACTGTAGCTTTCCACAAAGTATCTCTGCTTCTGAACTGATTCTTACAAACTTTATTACAGATAGCTATTTCTGTTAGAGGGAAGTGACAGTGGGACGGATTTGTAAAATGGCTGTTCATAGTGGCACAAGTTTATACGATTAGAAATCAACATTGTGAATTATTAGTCTTTTAGCATCATGAAAAGTGACTTTACAAGTGCCTGCTGCTTTTTGGACTCCATCACACCCCCATTATACATTGTGCTCTCTCTGAAGGGTGACAGCACAGTACTGGAGCTAATTAATTACCTTCTTTGAAGGTTAGAGCTTATTAATGACTGTTTACATATAGGTTCCATTGCCTCGTTTTCTTACTTCAGATGATGATATAAAATCCCTCTGTTTTCAGAGAAATGTCTGGGGTTTTGTAGTATCAAAAGAATCCCATGGCTTGGAAAAACCTTAAACAAGACCGAGCACAACTTTTGTTTTACTGTCTCCCTCCCATCTCCTTTCCTTGCTGCAGCAACAATTTCTTTTTCTCACACGCACACACAGAGTGAGTTTTGGCACTGTGGGGTGAACTCAGTGCTGATTACAAGCTTCCCTTGTAACCACCAGCCTTTTCATTTCTGATATGTGCAAGAAAACAAACCTAATAATAGGAATGAAATGACAGTGCGGGACAGAAGGCTCGGTGGCACCGAGGAAAACAACAGTTAGGAGAAGCCACAAAGAGAGACACAGGGCAGGCCAGCTCATGTGAAAACAAAACAGAAAAACAAACAGTCCATCACAATCACAGTGTGGCCAGAGAAGGAGAAAAATCACAGCTTTTTACATTGTTGAGGGGAGCTGGAATTGCTCCTCTCCTGAGGTGATTTGCTGGATCTCTGTTACAGTTAAAAAAAAAATGGTTAAAAAAAGGTGTGTGGGAAAACCTCCCCAAATTCCTTCAATCCCAGCATCATGAACATCTTTTTTATAGCACAGATAAGTTTGAAAAACCGATTGGCTTAGTGTAATCAGCCAGAGTTTGGATCAGATGTGGCAAAATCCTGCAAACAGATCACCGTGGCTGATGGCCTTCCCTGCTGAGTAGTACTAGCCAGGCATCATAATCCAGAAATCCTGCTGTTAAGCTGAATTTATCACACTGAAGTAGTGCTATTGCATCATGTGAGTAGATACTGAAGATAAAATGTGTTTATAATCATAGGAAAGAGAAGATTGTTAGCCTCTGTACAGAGATAAACCCCCAGTGAGAGTTAGGAAAGGGGATAATCCCCAGGGCACAGGCTCTGTGCTGCTCTGTATTTGCACAACACATTGCTCATGCTCCTGCCTGTTGGATGTTACTGTAATAGACAAGATTAATACTAATATAGTTTTAAATATTTGCATGATTTGGCTCTTGAGGAGTGTCTCAGCCTTAGAGTATTAATTTGTTATCCATGAGTGCACCACAGTAAATCTGCAATGTTTAATGTATTAGTGATTTCATTGAGTCTTGGCTTGCTGTCCAGCAGGTTTTCATCTCTGATAACTGCAGGGCTGACTTTCTTGCTGGCAAATAGATGCTCCACATATCTATTGCTCTTTTTCCATCTCATTGCTTCACCATCAAATTCACTCCTTCCTTATTGAATTCTTCATTTATGAACCTCTACCGCTGTTGTGTCCTATCAGCTGCAGGGGTTTGTATTTCCTTTGCTTTGATCAGCACAGGAGCAGCTTCTTGGGAAGTGAATGTCCTTTCCTTTTCCCTGCACTGCTGCTTTTTGGTTCAGAAGTAGTTCCATTAAAGTTCTTGTTTTGCCAGGTTACCTTGGGTTACAGCCTTTTCTCTGGTTGGCTTCCAATTTTCTAATGAAGTGAAAGAACCTTCTTATGAAAGAGAAGGAAAGCTGAGAGCTTTCAGCAGGGTCACTTTGGAGAATTGTCCTTCAGATCCTCTCTAGAAGGTCTTGGTGGCAGCACAGAATATTTTCTGTGATGGTTTTCCCTTTGCTGACCCATGTCCTGGTGGGGCCAGGGGTTTGTCCTCAGTGGGAGGTGCTGCAAATAAATTTCCTCCTTAATCAAATAACTTGGGAATTATTTAGGAAGGTTCCTGCTAACCAAAACCACTGAGGTCAAAGTTGTGATTGTGTTGGTGGCTTTCTGGGTGTTCATGTTCCAAAAGCTCTGGTAGTTTCTGTCATTTGACCAAGCAGAAAATTTTGGGAAGCAGAAAATGTGTCAAGATTCACATTTGGATTAATGATGAGCGAAGGTAAAAATGGATGTGTTTGGAGAAATGAAAGTATCATTCCTTAGAGGTGTTGAAGAATGCACTCAGTGCATATAGACAGGAAAGTCTCTTCCGTAGATAAATACTCTTTTCAGTCCAGTTGAACAGAGTAGCATGGACATGGAATTTCTTTCAGAATAAACCCTATTATTCCTTTGTTCAAACTGAGTGTGAGGCTCAACCTCACTGTGTTGACACCCAAGGCAGATCTTTTTGATTTCTCTTTCTGCTTTCTATAGATTTTTTATTTGCAATCAAACAGATCATATAAAATGTATTTATTATGAGAAAGAGGAACAATATATTGTGCTGTCACTAAAAGGATGCAAGGCCTTTTTTAGAGCAAAGCATCCTAACAGGCACTGAATGGTGCATTTTAATTCTTTTCATCTAATTAAAGTTGTATTTACTTTTCAATTAAATGAGATGTGTGGGCATACATCTATTTCAGTTAAATATATGTATTTATTTATATTCAAATGAATGTGAACAGACATATGTTGAAGTAGATGGGATACACATGAGCTTATGAATAATGTGTGTTTCTGCACACTGTGGATCATTGGTTATAAAAGGAACTGGATCAAGTATTTTAATTTTATTTATCAGCAGACTTCACTGGCGGGTTCCCATCGGTGACAAAGGAGCTGGGACAGTGCGAACTTGAACCCATTTCATTTAAAATGTATTTGCTCTGTCACATGTCTCACATCAAATTATAAACCAAGTTCTTCTCACCTCATAACTCCTTTGTTTGATTCCTTCTCCATATCTTTTAATCCTGTACTGGTAAAGTGATTTAGCAAAGGCTGCATCTGTTTTCTCTTGTTACCTGATAACTTCTTAATGAGGACTAGCAGCTTATGTGAGAGCAAGGTCATTAGCCCTAATGGATGGAGGGGACAGCTGATATGGCATGGGAAAGGTTAAAGATTACCCCAGAAGTTTTTGCAAATATACACAACAGCACAGGGCAGTAAGTGCTGTAATGGTTCTGCACTGATATTTCTGAGCTAATGGCCTTGGCCACATCTCTGCACACCTCTCCCTGCTGCAGGCCCACGCTGCTCCCGCACTCAGCATCAGCACGGGCACTCTCTTCTAGACAGCTGTGAATTCATGGTTGGTATTTTGTCATCCCATTGCTCTCATTATGAATATTAAAGATATTTTCTAAAAGAGATCAGTCACAGTTTGTAGCCTTTTCCCTCACACAGGTGTTTCACCGTGTAGCATTTACTGCTTTCTCCTCCCTGCTTTATAAACTGAGAACGAATCACTTTCTAGGATTTTAGCTATTGGCCAAAAAACTGCCTTGTCAGTTTTTGCCAGGAGAGCTGGAATTCATCCCTGTGATGGCACAGGGGCTATTTTCGGTTTATTCCTCAGCTATCAATATCTGTTTTATGTTACCTCTCCCAGCCTCCTGAATCCGCCGCTGTTAAAACCCGTTTTATTCTCCTCTGTCGTAGCCGGGTATAAAAAGAAATAACAAGAAACAAATGGCAGGATATTACTAAAGACTTTAAACCCCCAAAGCCATTGCTGTGCTAAAGGCCTGGCTCGATTTTAAGTGGAAGTATCTCCATTAGCATTAATGGGGTGAGTCCATCAGCAGAGGCATCTCAGAGGTTAATCAGCCTTCCTGGCTGGCCGTGGCCATCGATACCGTGTGGCGCCTGCTGCTGTTGGCCCTTCAGAGGCTTTCCTGACAACACACTAACAGACTTTGTGTAAGTCATTTCCCATGAATTATTAAAACAAACGTTTGGCTGCTAATTGATGAACACTAATGTGTTTTCTAATCACTGCAGTTTGAGATTTTAGCACTAAACAAAGCAGTTGCAATTGATTTGTGGCTGCTTCTTGGTTTCAGCCTGGGATCTGGACATTTTTTTCCTTTTCAATTTAGCAGGCAGCTTAGCTTGTCTTTTTAGTTAAGAATTGGCTTGTTACAGTGTCATTCCATTCTGATCTCTTTTGCTATTTCTTATTTATATTGCATAATAAATCTGCTCAATTCTTTACAGGCAAATAAGGCACAGTCCTTGGTTCAAGGAGAAAATATTTAAAGTTATAGTTGGGCTTGTTTTTCTTTTCAGTCTGCATCTCTCCTACTGTATCTACTCTGCTTCTTTCTCCAAATAAAATAAAGCAAAATAGAAATAATCTTCAGCATCTTTAGCTGCTAAAAGCTGGTGCAATGAATGTGTTTTCAAACCCATGTCTGGGAAACATGCAGAGCCTGGAAAGTCCCATTCCTTGTGCTGGGATGTGCCTGGGAGTTCCAGGACCTTGGGGCTGGCATTTTTAATTTTGCTGGATTTGAGTCTCATATTCAGTTTTAATGCTTAATTACTGAGTAAAAAATAAGTGTGTCAGATGTAGCAAAGGCCAAATTCTTGGTCTCTTGCACTGTGCAGAAGACAAAACTGTCAGCCTTAGGGGCTGTTTGTATTTTTGTGTGAGCAGTGCCCTCCTCACACCCATTGTGGCCTCATCTTTGATCCTTCTGACCATCCGTGCTGTGGGAATACGTAAAATCAAAGTTAAAAAAAACCCCAACTTAAAATACAAAAACCATTAAATTATTTCAATATTAAAGTACTTCTTTTTTCAATAATGCTTTGGCATAATTGACTTCCAAAATAAAGGTGAATTCTTCCATTTACTAGGATGCCAAATTTTTTCAAGCTGTTTTATTCCAGCCTTTTGCAGCTGATACATCATTCCTGAACAAATCCATTTCTAGAAAAAAATCCGAGCTGAACCCACAGCACAGCCCTAAACACTGTTTAAGGGTTTGTTTTGGGTTTTTTTTCCCCCTTTTTTGCAGACAATAAAGACTGGGCTGACGATGGTGGGGAAGGTGGTGACACAGCTGACGGGGACGCTGCCGTCGGGAGCCACCGAGGAGGAAATCCTGGCTCACAGCAACCTCCGCCGCAGTCCCCTGGTGCCTGGGATTGTCACCATCATCGACACCGAGACCGTGGCAGAGGGACAGGTAACGGTGTGCACGCAGCCACAGCCTGCACTGCCACCACATTCCCAGGAAAATCATTTTTGTGCTGTTGGGAGTGAAAAATAAACCAGATTTTCACCGGGGCGGGAGTTTTACAGACCCACAGAGCTGGGATAAAATCCTGTTTGGGACTGAAATGCAGCCAAAATATATATTGTCCTTGCAGCATATTTATGTGACACTTTGACAAGATCAAGTGTGAAGTGTCACATTTTGTCTCCCCAACACTTGTTCCTAATTGACATTGATTGATGCTGATCAGTCCAAGTGGAGATGTCTGATGATAGTTATTAATACAGAACGTGGCTGGAATATGGGGTTCTTCAGGAATAGGGGGAACTGGTGAATTCCAGGCTGAAATAAATGATGAGAGAAGTTGGGTATGAAGTGTAAAAGTTGTAATTTTATGTAAATCCCAAATGCAGTCGAGCACGATGCTGTGCTGTGGGGCATTTGTAGTGTTTTATAACAACAGAATAAATTTAGTGTATATAATAATACACAGGCAGAATCATTTGTTACAAACTCCACACCATTATCAGACAGCTTTTAAATTGCTGGATTTTCCTGTCTTTATGACAGAGAAGATATCCATGTCTTTTTTTGTTTTGTTTCTACCACTCATTTAATTTTAAAGTGTCTGGTCCTGGATTCAGTGTTTATGCAGAATTCCCACACACTTCATTATTCTGTAACTAGTCCGTGAGATTTTTTTTCCTCATAGTCACATTTATTGAATTTAAAGCAAAAAAAAACTTCAATTTTTTCATGTTTTCCCCTATCTTTTTCATTCTCATTGCAGGTAAGTTAGTGAGGTATTAAGGACACATCAGAAGTCAAATATTTTGCCCATTATTTTATGTTTTTTTCTTGACAGGAAAATAAAATCTTTTACTTGAAAAAAAAACAAAGCAAAACAAAAACTTCATTATAATTGTTCCCTGACAATTAATTTTGGAAGTAATTAACCAAGCAATGTTGCATTGAAAAGGAATTGTTTATGAAACAGTATAGACATTTTCTTCCAAAACTAAAATAAGAGAAAGAAGATAATGTAAAAAAAAAAAAAAATTAAAATATTAGAGCCAGGTCCTAAAATAATTCTGTTGGCTGTTGGGATTTGTTTTTGTTTCCAGCAAAAAAAAAATCTTTTGGCTCTTCAAATACAACAAGGAAAGGAAAAAAAAAAAGGCAAATTTGACTTCATAAATTTCTGATGAAGCTGTTTAATGTGGTCATTATTTCTGCTGGTCGCTGTCTGTGCTTTGATTCTTCTGCATAGGCCTGGAGGGGAAAAAAATTATAGATCTCAGGTTTTTAAGGCTTGTTTTATATGATTTAGAGGTTTTATGAACTTGTCCTCTGACCCTAACAATACTAGGGAGCTATCAGAGCCTAAAGAGCACTACAGGAGAGGAGCTGTAAAAATGATAATGTTTGTCTTGTCCAAACCCTGCTGCTCTAACATAAATAAGCCATCAGCTCTAGGAAAATAAGTTTTGTCTTCAACCTCCAGGAAGCTGGATATCCTAATGGTGTGTATTGCATTCATATTTTTGTCATCTGAAGTTTTTAAATGCTGTTAAATTATATAATTTATATCCAGTGCTGCGATTTGCTTTCAGAATTATATTTATTTCCAGGAAAAAAGAAAATAACCTTTCTTTGTCATTGTTATGATTTTCATGGTGGAGAAGATTTTTTATTTTTTATTTTTTATTTTTTTTTCTTACTGAAATATTCCTCTGGCAAGAAGAAATCTGATTTAAAAGAAATAAATGCACTTTGTACATGGTCATTCCACACTGCCAGTACAGAACCTTCTCCTGTGAGGAGGGTCCTGGGTGCCCCCAGTCCCTCTGAGTCTCTTCCTGTGCCCCCAGCTCTGTTTCCAGTGGAAATGTGAATTTTTTGCAGATGTGAGCTGGTAGATCCTGGTTTTGGCAGAGATCCCGAGGAGCCTGGCAGGGATGTGATGCTGTGGCTGGCAGGAGAATTCCTGCAAGGAATGCCGGTGTGGATGGCACTCGTTTGTCCTGGCTGGTTAACCCTGGCTGGGTTCAGGCAGGATTCAGGGAAGTGTTTCAGCACCTCTGACCTTTCAGAGAGGTGAGAATCTCACTGAGCTCGTTGGGGCTGCCCTGGACCCCAGCAGGCTCCAGCGTGGAGCTGATCCCAAATGTGTGAGCTCCTCATGCTGGGAATTTGTGACATTGTTTTACTCTCCTGTGGAAAATCAGTTTGTGGCCACCTGAGTTCCATCATCACTTTGGCTAAGATGGAGGCGTTGTGGGGCAGGTTGGTGATGCCAAGTCCAGCTTCTCTGTTTTAGGGTCACCAGTGGTTTTCCTAAAGTTACTGGTTTATAGAATCACAGATTCACAGAATCAGTAAGTTTGGGAAAGGCCTGCAAGGTCATCCAGTCCAGCCTTTGATTGAATCCTGCCATTGCCATGAGACCAAATAGCCATATCTGCTCGTTTTTTGAATCCTCCCAGGGATGGTGACTCCACTTTCCCATGGGTGAACTCCTCCTCAGTGCTGAGCCACTCTCAGTGAAAGGATTTTCCCTTGTTTTATCACCCCAGTTTTCAGATTCCTGACAATAAGAGTTCTGTCTGGAATCAACAAACCCTTCCTGCTGGGATGAGATTCCTGGTTTGGGATGTTCATGGCTGTGCCCATCAGGCTCTTCCTCCACTCACTGAGAAACCCTGAATTAAAAATTCCAACCAAGTATTTTCTGGGCTAAATGAACACTTGGAAAGCCTTGAATCCTATTCAGCAGGGATTGGTGTGTGCTCACATGGGTTTCAGCCTTGTCACAGCTGAGGGGAGTTTCAGAAGCAGGGAGGAATTATTTTCTTATCATCAGTGCCCTCCTAATATAAAATAAATACCTCACCTCCTTCAGGTCAATAAAGATTTCTATCAAACCTGCACAGCCTGACCAAGAATTTGGCTGTTGCAGTGAAAGATACATTTTCCAAGTAATAAAATATGCCTGTAAGATAAGATACAGTAAAAAAAACCCAAAAGAATTAATCTGTTTTAAAAAGAGAAAGAAAATGGAAGACAACAATAAATCTAAGGCAGGCAAATGCATCATTCTGGAGGAGAATTAAGCATTTTTTTTTGAGTGGGGAAGCAGTTTTTTTTAAATAAATGTGTCTAAAGTTTTTCAAATTAATGATCCAAGTACCTTTCCAGTTGTTTCAAGCTCAGCACACAGGTTCTAAAGGTGGACTGAGCTGCTCTGTGCCTGTGTACAAATACAACAATTTCTGTGCCAGGAGGATGATGAAGGGACATGTTCTGGACACAAACCAGGAGGACTGACTGTTTTTTTATCATTCCAAAGGCATTAAATATGAGGAATGTGAGAGGGAGCTCGATGTGTCTCATTCACTGCTGCCATGGCAGAGGGTGAAATGCAAACTCACTACTGAAAAATCCACAATTAAAGACCAAAGAACTCTCCTAATGTAATCTTGCAGGATTAAATCTGCAGGGAAAGTATTTTTAATAAATCTTATTCATGCAGATATTGTAGTAAACTCTCATCCCCAGCAGTTGTTTATGTGATAGTTCCTACTTTCAAAGTTGGTGCTACTTTAAGAAAATTTGAATGATGAGGTAATTAAATAAATGCAGAGGAATGCAGAATTATTGACATTGGCTGTCAGGAGATATTTGTAAAAGGAATAAAAATAATTATCGAGATGCCCAAGTAACTTTGTGGTAAACCAAAATATGTTAACAAGGTTGTGTGCTTGTTTAAACTTCCTTCTAATGAAGTGTTAGCAAACTTTTCAGTTAGATGGAAGGACTATTTATTTGAATCCCTTAATTAGTTGAAATGGATAAACCTAAAGCTGTACAGATGTCCTCTTTTTCAGTAATTGGAATTAAATGTGTAAGACTTTATTGGCTTGGGTTTGAAAGAAAAATTATTTTCTTTCGACCTTTGTTTCTGTATTCTTAATTAATTCATCCACTGGGCCACCCACGTGCAGGCTGCAATAATGACCTTGCTCAAAAGTCACCAGTTTTGGGGCAGAATGTAAATCTGTTCAACATCTAACAGTTGGTTGACAAAGAAAGATGTGGCCAGTTAAAAACCCAAAATTCAATTCTGGGTACGTTTGCCGGGGCTGTGATTGATGAAATCTCACCGTGCAGCTCATCCACAACTCAGGAATATTGGAGGGAATATTTTCAAAACAGCTCAGCAAACTAAGATAACATGTTGATCTATTTCTGTTTTAAAATGTGATCAGGGCTTTTTTTTTTTTTTTTTCTCTGTTCCCTATTAACTTTTTATTGCATTAAAGAAGAATTTTTGGGAAAACAAGCAGCCGCCTGCTGCACTTTCCAAAGTTCATTTTCATTTGGTGAGGAGTTGATTGCAATTGAACCATATCAAGATGCTTATCAGGAGCAGGAATTGTGAAATTTTGGTCTGATGCAAAAAGAAGCTCAAAGACTGAAGCATATTCAATAATAAAACTTTAACTACAGACATAATTCCACTGGTCATTAACACCAGCGCTTTTATTTTAGGAGCAGCTTTGGCAAAGGCTGGTCTGATGTTCTGATGCTCAGATATTTGGCCTCAATTTTCCTCACTTTTTATATCTCCGTGTATTACAGAAGAATTCTTTTTATATATAAATATAAAAAGAGCAACAGGATTCCCTCAGAGCATAATACTGTCTGCCTCACTTTTATTAAAGGAGATCTGGTTTTTGTCAAGAAGACATTTTTGTCTCAGATAAATGGTTCAGGCTGAGCACAAGGCTGGTTTGAGTTTATGCTGGATTCTATTAAAAGGAGTGCAGTAGTTAATGCCACAGATCTATCACTTTTAGCCCCTTTCCACTGAAGTTTGACCTTGGCTGTAACTTGAGGGAGGCTCTTTGTGAATCAAACTCCAGCTCTTTAAAGCATTGGGGATCTCAAGTGTACAGCAAATATTTGTTATACAATATTCATATTTATAATTATTGCCAAACCTATTTGTTTTTATGATGATGGGATTACTCTTTTCTTAATTGTATTAAGACTAGGACCTGCTTGATTAGATTTGGGTCCATTTTCATTTGTGTTACTTTCATGTTTTATTTAAAAACATGTCTCCACTGGGATAAGTGGTGTAATTTGCCTTTAAAGATTAAAATAATTAAAGTCATAATTACAAGTGGCTTCTGTTCAGCAGTACTGAAAATACCACGGAGGAAGGAGAGTATGGCATAGGAGAAAAAAGCTCTGGCTGCAGTTCTCTCCTGCCCTCCAAGCAAACACTGGTGGCTGGTAGGAAATGCAACGATGCCCTCGGTGCTTTGTCTCTTCTTTTAGGGTGAGATAAAGGCAATTTGGTGAATCTGTGATGAACTTCAGAGTTCTGCTATACCAGAGCTGCTCTGGGAGCTGGTTTGGCTCAGCACATCCAGCCAAGGGCTCTTTGGCTGGGAAGCTTTGGGGAAAATGCTGTTGCAGCTCTTGATAAAATGTTTTTGGGCATCAGGAGCAGCTGAGGGCTCTTTCAGCAGGACTTTGGCAGAAGAGTCTCAGTGTTGGTCTCTTGTTGGGAGCTCTGCAGGGAGGATCCTGCTGGGCTTCAGTGGCTCTGTGATCACCAGAGCAAGGCTGAGATTTCTGAACTTTTCTCAATGAGAGACTCTGGGAGGTTTTTTAGCAGAGTGGTTAGAGGCCACTACCTTGGAGAAGGAAGCCTGTTTGGGAGGAAAAAAATCGTAGCCTCAGGATTCCTGTGGGCTCTGCACGCTCTGGGAAGGAGAACGAGCTGCTTCCCTCGAGCTCTCTGACAGCCCTTGCATGTGTTATTAGGGAAATTGTCCCTCTGGTTTGATTTCCAGGAAGAATTCCCAACTCTGCTGTTTTCAGGGACACGAAACCCTCAGCTGGCTGGAGGAGCTGGTGGTACGGGTTTGATGTTCCTAAAGCAGCGGGTGTTGCATCAGCATCATTTTGATTTCCTGAAGCTCTGTAAGAAAGGGAAGATCACGCTGGGATTTAAAGCTTTGCAAGCTCTGAGCTGGGATGGGAACCAGGCTTTGGTTTGGTGGCACCTTTGGGAGGGACATTTGGTTGATGATGGAGTTGAGTCCAATTCCTTGGATTGTTTTTTCCTCCTTCCTTCATAGGGTTGGAATTGTAAAAAGTGATATTTGTTATCGCCAAGTTCAGTGCAGAAAAGCAGGGGGAAGACTTGACAAATCCTGAAGATTTCAACAAAGACTGGTGATTTTAAAAGTATTTTCCTCTGTTTCTAAAGGATTTATTCTCTTCATGATAATTTCAAAAAGAGGAAGAATATTTTTTCATCTTTCCACGCACAAGCGAGTGTTGTTTCCATGTGTGTTCCCAAAGGCAGCTCTGTCCATTCTGACACAGGGGCTGACACACATCAGGTGCTGAGAAAGGAGCCCTGAGTGTCACATTCCCCAGTGCCCAAGATTTCCAAATTATGAGTGATGAAGGTGCTTTTGTGGTTGGATTTTTTGGCTTTCATTTTCCTTTACTTGGTTAGTACAGGAGATGAATATACTTGAATTTGAATCTGCAAAGGCTGGTTTGCTGCATCGGAAAATCAGCTTTTGTAGAGAAAGGGGAAGATCTTTAAAAACTGCTTTTGGAGTGTTTTTTTTTCCAAGAAGGTATTTTTAAGCAGTAAATGACAAAAGGATTGAAAGCACGGGATCAGTGAACATCACATACAAATAGACATTTGGCCTTTTTTGAGTTCTCAAGTTTTCTGTTTCTAAGTCTAAGTTGTTTTGCAGTTTTTAATGTTGTGACTTTCTGCTTTGTATCGTATTTCCAGACAAAAACTATTTAAGATCAGGTTGCCATCCAGTGTTCTGCCTGTTGGACAGGGGTTCATGTTGCAGGGGTGATAACAGCAGTGCATTTATCATTTTTATTTTTTCTCAAATAAAGCCATGTTGAATTAATCCTGGAGAAGAGGCTGCATATGAAATATCCTATATAACTGTTTCTAGCAACGATTTAGATCCTGTGATACCCACACATTTCTGATTGATTATTTTTATTTAACAGGCTAGACCTGCAAAAAAAATTCTTTGTAAAGCTGGTTTATGGTGTTAGTTTGTCATTATCATTTCTCTTTAATTAGAGCAAAATGTTGATGCTGAGGCCAGCTCCGTGGGAGTGGGGGCTGTGATAAATGCTGGCTGGGAGTTCCTGAGTTTGTCTGGGTGAGGCAGAGCCGTGCTCCTTTGAAAAGCCTTCAGAAGATCTCCAGACCCTCTGGTTTCGTGGTTCTGGAAGGAGCACGAAATGCTGACGAGGGAGAGCAAAGCCATAATTGTGCTGTGACAGTGCCAGAGCTCTGGGCTCTGCCAGCCAGGCGGGCCCAGGCCCCTCCAGCCCCATTCCAGGACTGCTCCGAGCACCGGGAGAGGATTCCTCGTTTTCTGAAGCTGAAAAATACCTTCAAATTATTTTGATATCTGTTTGGGATAGGAAGTATTAAAAACCTTGCAGATTATTTTGGAAGAGACAGACAAATTATTCAGGGTGGTTTTGCACTGTCTAAGATGGTTTTTGCTTGCCACAAAATCCCCTTTTTCAAGTCCTTTTCTGACAGATCTTTCTTTTTGTTTTAATTCAGCTTTAAGGATGATGTAATCAAGGAATAAAACATTCCTACAGCTCTTGCATGGTTTTGTCCACACATCTTCTGGTTCTTTTTTATAAATCTAGGAATATCTTTGCTTTTCATGCAATTAAACTTAGATATTTTGTCCCATTGTATGTCCTCACAGTCAGTTTTAGTTTGATTGGACCAGGATCTTTATCAGCTTCAAATTTGCTTTTGTTTAAAACCCCAAAAGCTCTTCCTTTGTCCTTTTCCCCAGAAGCTGCTGCACAACACAGATCTCAGTCCAGGTATTCCCTTTTCCACTGAATTTCCCCGTGCTGTGAAAACTCTCTCCTATATTTTAATTCCTTTTTTTGTTCACAAGAAGATATTTTATTTGGGCCTAATTTTTTGATAACAACCTTTGTAATAATGTTATCTCATTTTGAGTGAGGCAGTTTCAAGTTGGAGAAATTTCATATTAACTGTGAATTCCACAGTGCAGCTGCTTCCATCCACACTCCCAGCCCTTGGCATTCCTTGCATCCTTTGGAAATCCAGATCTCTCAATTCCAGCACCACTGACAGCAGGATGGAAGCTGTTCCCACCTGAGGGACTCATGGAAAGCAAACCCACTTTCTCTGGGGTTTGGTCTGGTCTTCCACTTGTTTGCCTTATGTACTTGGGATCAAAATACTGATTTATGTAAAAGTTAAATATTCCCTTTTCTTTCTAGGATGTCATTTTGTTACTGGAAACCTCAAATGGAGCTTCCTGCACAGCATGGTGTAATGAGCTCTTGTGCAGGCAGCAATAATTCATGGAGCAAAACAGGAATATTTTTCTCTTCCCTAATTTGAATAGGATAAATAATAGGGAATCCAGGCATAAAGTGGATAATCCTTTCTGGTTATTAGAGCAGGTCTGATGTCTCTGTAGCTGAGAGAATTCCTGAGGGTTATTGCTGTTCAGCTGATGAGCAGTTACACTGTGAACATGAACACCTTACAAACCAATCCCTGTGCCAGTAAATTGGGAATTTCCCTCTGGAGTGTTTTCCCTGCTAATCCTGGGCTGTGTTCTGTCCCCCAGGTCCTGGTGAGTGAGGACTCGGACAGTGATGGCATCGTGGCCCATTTCCCTGCCCATGAGAAGCCCATTTGCTGCATGGCCTTTAACCCCAGTGGTAAGAGATGTTTCTGGTTATTGGGATTGGTGTAAACAAGGCAGTTAATCCCATGGGAATGTGTCCCATGGCTCTGGAGGAATTGCTGGTCCCACTGGGCCACTGCAGGTAACCTGCTCCAAGGAGTGTTGGATGTGTAATTTGTCTTTCCTGGAAATTTCAAACTTCAACAACACTTTTACTGTGGTAGGAGGGAGGAGATTCAGTCTTCCACTGCTGAGGAATCCCTGTCTGTTGGGATCCTGCCAGAGAGCTGCACATGTTGTGATCCTCAGGTATCCAGAGGATCCATGGATTAAATTGTAGTCCTCCATAACTACAGAAATAAAATCGTTTCACTGGTTTTTAAAGTTACTTATTATTTGTTTGCTAATGAAGAGTTTGTGATCTTCCCCTCTCTCATGAGTAAAATCAACTGAAATCTGAAAATACTTGTAAGAAACTCCTCAAAAGTACCTGTTTCTCTCCTTCCTCTTTAGAAATGAACAGTCACTGTGGGCAGTGGGGACAACTACAAACCTTGTATATTAATTGACCTTATTAATCTGACAATTAGCATTTCATTATTTGTAGATCAGTAATGTTCTGGCTGATTGCAGCAGCACTCAGGGAAGTGGTCAGGGAATCAACAGCTTCCATTGCCTAAATCAACAATTTCTAAAATGCAGCAAATGCCATGAAGATCTGGAGGGTGAAGTCACATTTCAGAGAATAAAACTAAATGTCTGTCATTTATGTTTTCACTTTTGCTGACCAGTTGGTGTCATTCTGACACCCCATCTGTTGTGTCAGAACTCTTTAACAGTGCAGTGCAGTTCACTGGGAGTTTGTGACAGAAAAGCTGTATTCTCATCTGCCTGGATTTTCTTGGAAGGGAATTTTTTGTGCAGCTCTGTGCAGTGAACTGAGAATCCTCAGCTCCAGAACAGTCATTTTGCTTTGTGCTCTGGAAGAAGGGTGATACCTAGAGTGGAGCAATGCTAATTAAATGAAATAAATAAATACAGTGAAGTAAATACAGCTGCTTAAATTAGAATAGTATATAGATATGAATGAAATGCCTCCTTAAGAGAGTTTCTAGATTGTGTAAATTTAAAGAGCAGAATGTTTATGCAAAACTGAACTAACTTGTTCTTTTTCAAAAGGAAGAATATTTTTGCAAATTGCTGGATAGTTCTATTGTGATCAAATTCTTCAGTTTGCTCAAGTCCTGGGATGACAATAATTTAGAGAGTTAATGGTGTTTAATGGCAAAACACTTCTTTAAGTGGTGTTATTTTTGGCTGCTTGCAGATGCTGTGGGAGCTTTGCAGGAGGGATGGGGACAAACCAGCAGAGAACTCTTCCCTCAGCTGCCTCCAGTGAGAGCAGCACTTAGCCCAGGATTCTGTGTTCTTTATTTAACATCAAGGCAGGATTTTGTTTGAAGCCAGGACTGTAACATCATCGCAGCCCATTCTCCAGTGGTCTATTGGCAATCAGGCTGAGCTCATTACAGAGAACAAAACAAGAGGTGGTGTTTGATTCTGTCCTTGGCTGCTTGCTCTGAAACCTCACTTTTACTCCTAATTTCAGGCAGTGTCTGCGTGGCTGCACCAGAGCACAGCGACTGCAGAGCTGTGCTGGGGAGACAAACAGGGAGCACTTCCCTCTGATTCACTGAAAATTTTACTTTCTGGGGCTGATAAACCCCTTAATTCCATCGTGTCTCAGTGCAGGAGCTGCACAGGTGCTCAGGTCTGAGTTTTGGGAAGATCCCTTTATAGACTTTTATTGTGTTAAAAACGAGCAGAATCCTCCCTTCATTTGGACAGATCAGAGGTATAAAGGCCTTTATGAACTGTGATAATCAAAACCAACTTGTGTTTAAATGATCCACATCTCTCCACACTACAGGAATTGTTATTTGTGCTTTTGGGAGTAATTTTAAAGCCTACTGGGCTGCAGCTTTATTTCAGTCAATTGTCTTTACTTCAGCACATTTAAAAGCAAATTATACATGCTTTATTTGTGCTAAAGCTGAGTTGCTAAATACTTTATTGTCTACACTTGGGCAGGTTCTCCACAGTGGACAGTCTGTTCTTTTAAGCCATAAAGTTTCTTGCTGCTGTCCCTGCAGAGGGGAGGAAGGGCCAGATCCTCTGAGCTCCCCAAGAAGGTTTGTTTTGGGCACGAGGCCTCGAGGATGCAATGTGGGAATAAGCGGAACATGAAAACCTGAGAACGTGAAAATGACCAGAGATGCCATTTTCACAATTTATAGATGAAATAAAGTGTAGAGAAACCAGCCCAAAATTTTAGATATGATTAATCATTCTGGAGTCTTGGTGTTGGAGCCTTGAGTTTGGTTTTGGAGGACACCAGGGCATCTTCATGTGGACACTGCTGCTCTTCTCTGGAGTTCCACTTTCCGTGGGAGCCTCAAGTGATGCAGACCAATAATGAATAATTTTGGAAGCTGGACTGAGCTTCTGAGCCCACCAGAGCACTGGATTGTGCTAGGATCCCAATTTCTGTGGTGTCCCCTGGTGAGTGCAGAGCCTGACCTGGACATGGCCTCCTGGGCTCCAGATGGGATTCCCAGGAGCATCTGTTCAAACATCTCCATCCCTTCTATCTGGTTTGGGAGGCAAGTTCAGTGTAGAAGTTTTCATATCTATTCAAAGGTTGTTTAAATCATTCACTCCTGGTTTTGGAAGGTTTGTGCCTCGTTTCCCTGTCAGGCTGCACTGCCAAGAACTGTATGTACAACAAACCCCGTGGGCAGCCAGGAAAGATGAGAATTATCCCGTTTGATTTTCTTTAGAGCTTCTGCTTCAATTGCCAATTTGTTAAGGCGAGTAAGTAGCCTTAGGGCCTCTGAAAAGGACATTTTGTTACCAAAGCTTCCTGGTGGTCTTCTCCTGGGACAGCTTTTCCCAATAAAAGCTTTTCTCTGCACTCAGATGCAGCATAGAGGGGTTTTCCAGCTGCAGGACTCCATCCTGGCTTCTCACCCTTCTCGAGGGAGCAAAAGACACAATATTTTTTTCTATAAAAGCTCTTAAAACAAGCTGAAAATACAATAATTAAAACTCTTCTGAAGCTGTTGCTAAATCCATTCTCAATTTGAGAGTAGGACAAGCTTTTAAATCAACGGGGTGGGGCAAAGGTAGGAAAGTTTTCAGATAAGATTCTCAGTTGGTCAACAGCTAAAAAGTGGTGCTGGTTTATAAATATCTGGGGGTGTTTTTCTTTTAAATGTGGTAAATAAATGATCTGCTTTCCAAAAGTGTTGCTCCTGCCAGCTTGGCAGCTGAGAGCTGTGAAGTACAAGACATTGAAAATTTAAAATAATTACGCTTCCTTGGCTACAAAAGAGATTTTCCACCCATTAATAACAAGAAAATTAATGTTGGGCCAGCAGTAAAACAGATTCAACTGTGTCCCCCTTGGGATGCCTGACTGCACCTTTAACAGACCTGAAATTGCTCTGATCATTTTAATGTTCTATATTGAAATGTGATGGTGGCCTTGAGTTAATAGTTAAAGAGGGTGAAATTGGAACATCTCTGCACAAGTTTTTTCCCATTGATCAGAGAAAGTGTGCAGGAAAACACTCCTGGAGAGTAAAACAAGCTGTAATTATTTAATGACAGAAGAATTCTTCAGTTTTTCTGTTCATTTTCTTCTGGTTTTCAACTTGAATTATTGCCTTGGAGGACAAATACAATAAAATTAAGGCAGTTTGATGAGTTGCAGTTATTAATGTTGTGTCCCTGTGTCCCATGTCACCAAAAGGACTCCTTGATGATTGATGGCTTGATCAAGAATTGCATTTTGGGCTGGTTGTGAAGGAAAAGCTGCAGCCATGGATTACTTTAGGAGTTATAAGAGTCATAGGGAGTTATTTATTCACAAAATAATATTTTATTTTGCTTCTCTTTCTTTTGACTTCTTGGGATTTTTTAAATGTTTACATTAAATCTTTACGTGCTTGCATTTATTTTGCGGTGAATTTTGCTAAAATCAGAATTTCATTATTTAGTTAAGGATTTTTAAGACCAAATTTTGTAGCTATAGCACATGGTCCACTTGGGAGTATCCAGGGGCTGAGCAGCTCCGATGTTTGGCTGTATTTTCACTTGCCTGGGAGAGGAGTTAAGTGGATATAAATGAAGCTGCTGTTCCTGGGTTGGGCCAGATGTCTCAGAAAACCATGGGGCATATAAACTTTGTCACATGAATGCAATTGGTCAGCCCAGGGAGCTGCAGTGTAGCAGGAATCCTGTCCCAGTGAGCCTGTGGAAGGTGGGAATGCCAGGAGAAATCCATGTGGACTGAACCAGGAGCGGCTCTAAGTCTCTGTGGTTCCCCTGAGCGCTCTGAGCCTGTAATTTGGGAACCTCCAAAGCTCCGTACCAACCTTGTGTGGCATCCAAGTTCAGATTTCCAAACTGAAGTGTGAGGAGTTCATATTTTTAATCATTTTTTGGACAAGCAGTGAGTTGGTGCAGTGGCTGGATCGGTCTCTCCGTGGCATGGAAATGTGAGGGTTGCATTCCTAAATCCAGTCTATCCATGGATCCACATTTCCTCCATGCAGATGTGCCCGATTCCCAGCACTCGTGCCCTTGGTGTTTTGAAAAGAAATCCAGCACAGCTTGAAGGTGTGGAATCCTTCAGTGAGTGCTGGCAGAGAGACACAGTTTGGAGAGGTGGAAAACCCTCTGAAAGCCGAGGGGAAGCTCCTGGTGAAGCTCCAGGAGTGAGGACCTCATTTATATGCACGCAATCAACAGCTCTGCAATTAGAGAGGTGTTATAAATAGGATGTGGTGGGGCTGCCCAGCTTTCCCAGCGCTCTCTAATTTGCCCCTGGGGCTGCCAGGAGCTGAGAACTCCGTGTCCCATCAGCAGCTCCAGTCCCACCCTCAGGCCAAGCCTCATCAGCCAGAGGGGAGGAAGCTCTCAGATAAACACGGCGCAGCCTCAGCTCCCAATCGCTCCCGGCTTCCGCTTCCAGGCCCTATAATTAGAAGTCCTTCTTTTCCTTGTATTCCCAGTTGACGCAAATGCTTTTTGTGGCTTGGCACCTCATTTAGGGCGTGGGCTTAGTTTATGGCCAGGCCAGAGTCTGGTTTAGTCTTCTGATACTGCATAAATAGCTCTTAACCCACAGTCTACATCTGTACTAGTTTTTCCTTTTATGCATATATTCCTCGTGTTTTTATTTCTATCCTGAAAGAAGCTGATTGTTTCCCCAAACAGAATGCAGGAAAAGAAGGAAGCTGTAAATTAGGGCAGGTAAAACAAAGCTTTGCTAATTTTTTTCCCCCATCTAGGATATCTGTTCCTTTCAAACTGGATTTTAATAATCTCTGTGGATTTAAAACAACCACACAGTAAAACAGTCATTAATTTAATCTGGCTGCACCCTTGCACTGTGGATAAGCAAAATCAGAATTTTTGCAATGAGATATATACTAAATAAAGTCTGGTTTACACATAAATTTCCACTGGGTCCTGTGTTTGCAAGTCTTCCAATGGATTTCAGCTGTTATCTGTTAAACAGGGATTAATGCCAGTTTGAAAAATAAGCAGGAAATCCTCAAGAATTATTCACTTTTCATCTCTGATTATTCACCCATAAAGTCCCTCGTAGGAGAAAACATTTGGACTGAACTTAGCATGGCTTTAACCTGTATTTCCATCTAAACAACTTTTTGGGGAAACTGTCACGAGGCCTCTTAAGAAGCTTGAGTTGAAGTTTCTTGCACTTGAAAGTGAAAGTGAGGTAGGACCAGGATTCCAGTTCGTGTTTCTCCACTGGGATTAGGAATTCCTGCTGGGATGCTGCGGGGAGATGGAGACAGAAACAAAATGGCTGAGCTGTGGTAAGGGAAAACTGGGATTCTTCAGTGTGAAGTAATGAGAGCTGGAAAATCCCACCACAAACCCCAGCCCAGGGTTCTGAAACATGGGTGATTTATTGTTTGAACAACAGCAGCAAGGAAGAGATTTCAAAATGCTGTTTTATAAATACACGTTCTCTCCCATCTGTGGTGTTGTGCTTGGGACCTCCGTGTTGATACAAGTCCTGCCAGAATATATTCGTAAATGCAAATGTAGGTGTGAAAGGTCTGTCTTTAACTTACTGAAAAGGAGTCTCTAATACAAGTGAATGGCCTGTTTTCCCTGGGCTTTCATCTAATAAATGCATTTATTCTGAACAGGACAGGCAGCAGGAGTTTAGATTAGACACAAATTGCCAAATCAGATACCACCCATCTTTCTATTTTTAATTCCTTTCCAGCCACAAATGTATTATCGTTCACCTCTGTACTCCTTCAAGTTAGCAAAAACAGAGAAAAGAAACCCCAAACCAAACCCAGAAAACCCAAAGGCAAAGCACACATGGAACCAAGAGCTGGGAGCATCATCTGGAGCTGCTCAGAGCTGCAGGTAGACGAGTGAACATCAGGGCTGTGGCTGCTGGGATCCGAGGTGTCACTGAAGGAGCAAACAGGGACCACTGTGGGGTTCTGGGGGCTCGTGTGCCACAGGTTTTGGTGTTTGTGCCCAAAGCGAGCCCTGCTCTGCCTGAAGACAGCACTGCAGGCTTGAGGAGCAGGGGGATGATTCCCTCCTTGCACTGCCCGCAGACACCTGCGGCTCTCGCCAGCGCTGGAAACCAGATCCCGCTGAGCTGAACACCCATGGATTGCATGGATAACACAGGACCATGATCCCGGTGTTTTCACTGGCTCAGGATCATTACACAGCGTTTTGTCTCCAGTTCCAGACAGATTTTTGGTGGATTTAGGATTTTTTTTAACATCTTCTGTGCGCCGTGCCGTGTGCTGGGATCCCCACTGTGGAGAACACTGTGCTGGGATCTCTGGGTGCACTCAGCCTTGCGTCTGTATTTGTAAAAGACTTCTCAAGCCTTAGGGGAAGAAAAAATACCTGTTTGCAGAGCTTTTCTGCTCAGTATTCAGAGAAGTCTTATGGATCCATCTCCTCCAGCTTCTCCTTCTCCGAAGGTCCTTTCCATCAGGAGCAAGAGAGCACAAAAGGACCCAAAGCACCCTCCACGTCTGTATAAAGCTGCCTAATGCATGAGGAGAGATAAACATGGGAATAGAGAGGATAAATTCTTACTGGTTTGAATTAGATCTTTTGGAATATCCTCACTCCAGTAACAGCAGCAGCCTAATTCCAGCACACAAACCCCTCTTTGCTTCCAGCTTTCTCTGCTGGAAATGCTATATATTATTGGGGACCGCACACTTCACTAGAAGGGAAGTGTAGTTTGTGATGTTGCAGAACTGAATTAATGCAAATTGTGTGCATAATCCCACACGAAAGGCTTGGCTGCCTCGCACCGGAGCAACTTGAGCTGTATTTCCTATCAACACAGTCACTACAAATCAAGGAAATTGCCAGTTAAGCCAACATTAACATCCAGACCAACCTCAGCTCACATGCCTTACCGCCCAAACATAATACCCCAGCGCTCTCCCGGATTTCTCAGCTCCATAACAAACTCCCTTTCATTTCTAACACTCGGGCCCGGAGGAACAGCCGGGAACAGTAAAAGTGTGTCTGCTGGAGGGAATCTTGCTGAGCTCAGATGTGAGATGGTGCGTTTGTGGAGCTGCAGGAAATGCCTGGGTGCAGCGTGGGTGGCCTGGCCGGGCCCAGGCCCTGCCAGCCTCGGTGGTCAAGCCGAGGGGAAGCTTGGAGGCAGTTTTGTCTCCGAGAGCAATTTGGATTTTGTGCCTTGCTGCTGTGGGCCTCAGCGCCTTGGAATTGCCTGTTTGGCGTGTCAGGATCGTTCTTTCCGAGGTTTTAGGGAAGCTGAGGCGTGCCCTGCTGGTGCCACATGGGCTCTGAGGTGCTGCCTTGCCCTGGGTGGGGTTTCAGGGCTTTGGCCACTGAAATGTTCCTGCCTGCACCTAAAGGACCCAATCTCTTGGATTCTAGGATTGCCAAAGAGGGAGGACACTCAGGAGACCAATCTAGTGATGAAATGGTGGTCCTGTAGAAAAGCTAATTGCACTTAATTTTTACTCTGCTGCTTGGCACACTTTTTACAGTTTAATAGTAAAATTTTCCAAGTGTCATGAGGTAGGAAATCAGTGCTGATGTGTGAGAGGTTTCAAATGTGTGCTGTTGGTATCTGGGGCAGCAGAGGGAAAGCAGTTCCTGGTGTCACCTGTAAATAAATGAAGGCAGTGAACATTTATTTATGACAGAAATAAGATAACTGTTTATCCTCTGAGTAAGTGTCAAGTAAAACATGGGGACTAGGTTCTCTTCCTGCAGGATAAAAGATTTCAGTTGTGCTTTATATGGAGAAATGTTGCAACAGACCTGAGTGGGAATTCCTGATTTTTCTTTAATAGATGGGTGCCTTGAAAATTATTTAGAATGTTGCTATTAAACTGCTAAAATCACTTTGTACTGGATGTTAAATAAATGTCAGAGGGTTACTTTGGGTGATAACAGATTAAGTTTCATTAATAACAGAAAGATAAATCTGTAGTTTATTACTGTAATCCTAAATTCTACCATGATTCTGTATTTTCTTTATATGTACAAAAATACTTAATTTTTTGGTATAAATTTATGGCAAATTGACTTCAAGTATCTATAAATGTTTAAAACTGGGTTATGGGATGAGACATTGTGGGATAAAAAGGTAAATAGCAAATGTAAGTTACTGTGGTTCTGCTGGTGTAATTGAATCATTTCAGTACCTCCACAGTGATCTGTTTTCGATGAACCTGGTACCTCATTTAGTCTTTCATTTGAAAGCTCTCAGCTCTGCTTTTCACCAATAAATCAGACAGTTTCATTTATAAGGAAGATGCTTCTTCAGGATTGTTTTGGTATGGTCTGTTTTGGCTGGATTTCGATAATCTCCTCTTCCAAAGATTGTTATTGTGGAGACATCAATCTTTTTTAGACTGGCTCTTGCCCAGGGAAGAGCATTTTGGGGTTTTGCTGTAACATTCATCACTTCAATGCTTCATATTGGTCACACAGTTCTCAAATTTACTTGGAATATTCAGATTTTTCAGATGTTTTTATAGATTTATGTTGTAATACTATCTTAATATATTAGTACTTAAGTTGTAGTACTGTGAATATGATTTTAGTTGAAGTCCTGATTCATTTTTATGAGGTGAATCCCTTTCAGCTCAGTAATTTTCTGTGTTTTCTTCTGTTTCCAAACCCCAAATGTAAGCCATGCTCTGTTTTTTAGATAGACACTTTAAGCCTCTTCTTTTGCAGTGATTAATCTCTTGTGCTTTTGTGTTTTGTTTTTTTTTTTTACCCAGGGATGTTGCTGGTCACCACTGACACATTAGGCCATGATTTCCATGTTTTTCAAATCCTGACACATCCTTGGTCATCATCACAAAGTGCCGTCCATCATTTGTACACACTTCACAGGGGAGAGACCGAAGCCAAAGTAAGTTAAACTTTTCGCTGGAGAATAATCCCCAGACACCTTATACATTCTGTGTATGTTGGCACTTTAATGTTTGTTTCAGCACACAAAGAGCCTTTCTTGTGCTCCAGCCACAGAAGGGATAAGAGCAGAGCGTTTAACCTGGACAATAATAAATTCTTGCCCTTTGCAATGAGGTGCTGTCAGATTTATTCAGATCTGGCACTGCCTCCAAAGAGCCCTGATTATTGGCTGTGTTTGCACTTAACCTTTTCTCATGTAACATGTTCAACATTTGTCTCGTGCCCGTGAAGGAACTGTCAACATTTGCCTGACTCTGGTGGTAAAAGCCACAGACAGACAATTAAAGAGTTGAAAAGAAGAGTTAATCAAAAGGCTGTGATTAACTTAGCACAGTGGGGGAACCTGCAAAGGCTCCCCAGTTTAACTTCCCTGTTGAAAAATCCCTCTCTCAGAGACGGAGGACTAAGTTAGGATATTATTCAAGAGTGGAAAGGTCTGGAATTGTGTTTCAAGCAATGCTTAGTGAAGTGATTTGCTGGTGAGGTGGGGAAAAGGGAGCTGCTGTCACTGGCAGGGCTGTGGCTGTGGCAGCAGCGAGTTCTGCTCAAGTCCTTTGTGACGATGCTTTTGGGCACAAGCAGAGCCTCACCTTTGGAGCACTGAGGAGCTGCTGAGGAACCTGCTTTAAATACAGGAATAAAAATGTCACCACAGGGTAAGAAATGAGTATTGCACTTGCTGATGCAATTACACAGGGGAAGCACAGACTTGTGGCAGCCTGGCAGATGTAAAGTGCTGTGACAGGGACAGCCTGGGGCTCTGTGATTATGGCCCTGGCACTGGGAGCTTGGCTGGTTCTGGTACCTGATTACAGTTCCTTCAAAAACTTTTTTCCCTGGGAGTTGAGCAGTTCCCCTCAAGTTCCTCACCATACCTTTGTAACAAGTAGAATGTGAAAGCTTTATTGAATGTAGCAGTGGTTGATCAAGTTTTGTTCTGGGTGAATTTATATTTCTGGTAGTTTAAATACTCTAAAGCTTTCCTGCTACCATTCTGGAAAAGTGGAATTGCTGTTACAGGCAATGGTTTACTATAAGAAGCAATAACCAATCTGGAAAGTGAGAGGAAATCAGGAAAAAAATTTCATTTGGATAATATATATAGTACTAACAAGAGGTTTTTATGAATATTACAAAGAGCAATGAGATCTGTGTGTATACACATACTCTGCCATCTACTTGGGCATGTTCTATAATGTGTTTAATGTTTTAGAGTTATTTTTGTTCTCCCTTCATACAAAGACTCAATATTTAAATCCAAAGCACAGGACTTCAGTCATAAGGAACAAAGATGTTCTTCTGGCTTTTACAGCTGATAAATTTGTTTTCAAGGCACACATTGGAAACCAAACAGAACATGTTTTAGAGAAGAAACCCTTATTGATACATGTTTTTTTGGGATATAGTATTAGCATCTCCATGAAAGCATTGCATTAAAATTCTCAGAATCAACATAGTAAAATTTTTTCCTCGTTTGCCACACAGTTTTCATTTGGGAATGTGAACAGTATAGCTTTTGGAATGGCATAAAATGGAGAAAATTCTAACCAGTCTGAGGTGTGTTGGTGGATTTCACAACTCCCTGGATAATTAAACAATATTGCATTGGTACCTGTGATTCTCAATACACATAGTTTGAAATATATATATAATATGGGGGATTGTTTTACTTTTTTCTTTTGGGATAACAGCACTTGTAGCTGTTCAGTGAGAGGAGAGTTTGCTGGTGCTGCTCTTTTGTTGTGTGAATTTCACGTATGAGGAGCATTAGACAAGAACTTTGGAGACTGTTCAATATAAAACTCTCAGTGCAGCCCACACTGGGAGCCTCTGTCTGGCTAGAACAGTATTTATACATTTGCTACCAGACCTTTTTCCTTTTTTCTTTTTTTTTTCCCCCTGGTTTAAAACTAACTGTGAATCAAGGCCAATGGTCTTAAAGGTCACCTTCTGTAGTGGAGCTATAAAAAGTTCTAATTTGTGTTGATGGACATGAGTGATTATCAGTGTCAGAATTTGTTTAGCTAGTACCCATTATAAATTGTTTAAACATCACCATTATGGCCATGTTATATGTGGGATTTTAATGTCCATGCTGAAATCAGCTCTGCTTTTGTACATGAGTTTTTGGCTGTCAGCACTTCACCCCGCTTTTCCAAAATCTCCTTTTTGTGACTCAGATGAAGAGGGGGTGGGATGGAAGGTGGACCTCTGCCTCAGAAGGGAATTGTGAAGACAACGTGAAGACAATGGCCATGGCAGAATGTGAAGTGCTCACTGAGTCCCAAGGTCACAGCATTCAAAGTCACTGTTCTGCAAACACAGACAGGAGTCCCTGTTTCGGTTCTATCAGATTAAGATCTTTTAGCCTTTAAGTGCCACTTGGGCTTTAGATTTTATATTTTTTTTCCCTAAAGAGGACAAAGAACAGCACTGAGTAACACCAGGAAGGTCCATTGCAAGGGCTGGTTGTATTTAACTGAGTCAGAGAGAGAACTGAACCTCTCAGAGGATCTGTGCCTGCACAGTTCAGCTGTAAAGAGAGAAATGTGCATGTGCTGCACATTTTGGTTAAAGACACATCTTCTTGTGCTCCAGCTCTTGCATTGTGAGGCAACACTTACTGCACTCATGTTTTTACCCAAGAGCATTCTGGAAGGTTTTTATTGAGGGCATAACATGTTCTGAAATGAGGAAGCTCATTTACTTACAGATGAAAGTTAGTCCATCACCTGATGATCCTTTCCTCTTTGATCTGAAATTGTAAACAGCGAAAACAAAATCCTTGAAAACAGCATTATCTCAGCCTAGGACAAATAAACGTAACGATAGCATCAGCTGGCTGCTGGCCAGCTCCTCTGTAATCCTTTACTCTGTCAGACTTTTGTTATTCCCACTCCCAAACTGCAGCTAGAGCTGACTTCAGTTGGAGAAGGTAAACAGAGGGAATGATAAAAACATTCCAGCCTGGCTGCTGAGGGACACGCGCCATGGAACGCTTTTCCAGGGAACGCACAAATGCTTCAGTGATGTCATTCCACAGAGACTGTTCAAGGTTGTGTCACACCCCTTGCCCAGGTAGTGAAACATTGGAACAACTTCCAAACATTGAATGTGAATCTCCATGGCCTTGAGAAATTCCTTCCTGTCTGTGACATGCTCATAGTTGCAATTATTGAAATAGACTCTAAGATTAGGAAGACTTTCTTATTTCTAGAAAAGAAGCTGGGATAGGCTTGAAATAATCAAGATTGATTTGGGGAAGTTGATCAGTCTCAGATGAGAGATAACGAGAAGGAGCTGCTGCAGTCTGAAGTAGCTTGGCTGCCTTGGGGAGATGGAGCCATGAGTGTTTGCAGGCTCAGTTCTTAATAGGGAGCTCAGCTCTGGTTAAAGGCCCCATGCAAGTCTGTCACTGTGCCCACATTCTGCCCTTGCTTTTACACAAAACTGAGATCAGTGTTGAGGACTTGGGGAGACAGAGTTGGGTCTGTGTGGATCTGAGAAATCATATTGTGTGGACCATGATTTTATTATTTTTTCATTTATGTTTGTTGCTACATCATTTCCTTAATTTTCTCAGCCAAAAAAATTCACATACAGACCAGTTTTCTAATTTATTTTGACCCTTACCTCCTCAGGACTGCTGCTCTTTCTCATTGTTTAATGATACTGGCTTTTTCTTTCTGCCATCTCCCTGCACAGTATAATTAAATACTTGAGTCCTGGTGCTTCAAATCAGGGTGTTTTTTCTCTGTGACAAAGCACAGTGATCATGAACAGGTCATGTTCCTGTTGCAGCACTGCTGGTCCTACACTCCAAGTTTAATTAAATGCAGTAAAATGCACAGGAATATCAGAATATCAGATTGCACCTAATGTAACTCCACAAACTGACAGAGGGGTGATAGGAAGAAAAAAAAAAGTGCTGGGAAGATCAAAATGTGGTTTATTTCTTGTCATTATTATTGAAATCCAAGGTTCATCGTTGTGAGGTTGGTTTTCTTGCTGTTACATGATTTACCTGGACACAGTCCTGTGCCAGGTGCTCTGGGCTGACCCTGTTTGGGCAGGAAGGTTGGACCAGATGAGCCTCTGTGGCTCCCTCCAGCCCAAGCCATCCTGTGCTTCTGTGATTCTGTAATAGCAGAAAGGATTTTTTGATCTGTATGGTATTGAAAGCTGGTCCTCAGTAGAGCTGTTGACATGTGCTGTGTCCTTGGAGGACTCTGTATATTAAATTACCTGACTGTGTCACTCAGGGCAGGCTCTGAGTGGTAGCTACATTTTAATTCAGTTTTCTGGAGGATTTGACATCATAATGTTCAAAACACAGGGAAATAGAAAAGTGGAAGCTAGAAAGAAGCACAGAAGAGTAATTGGATGGAAACAGGAGGAGACAGGAAGCACATTGACCTTTTGGAGCAAGTCCAGAGAGGCCACCAAAGTATGTAGAGGGCTGGATCCCCTCTCATGTGAGGAAAGGCTAAGAGAATGGGGATTGTTCAGCCTGGAAAAGAGACGCTTTGGAGTGTATTTGTGGCCTTCCAGTACCTGAAGGGAACCTGGAAGAAAGATGGAGAGAGTCTAGGACTGAAAAGAATTTGAAAATATCTCAAGGCTTCCCAAATTAAATAAAATCTCAGGTCTGTTATTCCCTTTACTGGTCCAGACAGAAGAGGATAGATAAAATTTTAAAATACAGACGGGAGTATTAAATGTGACATTGACCTTGAGCTATAGAATAAACTTTGCATCATGAGAGATCTGGTGTACTTTGTACTTCATTAACATATATCTGTAAACACTATGGGGACTTGATTGATCTTTGGTATCTAAACATTACATCATAATTAACAACAAATCCAGAAATATGTTATAAATACATGAAATAATAGTACATTAACCTAAAGAACAGCAATAAATTGCAACGCTTAGCATAAACTTGAAAACCACTAATGGGCCACTGTGCAGTTTGTTTATACTCGGAGCAGTCGAGAACTCGGCGTAATGTACAGGAACGTGGTGGGGAACAGCACGGCCCAGGGCATAATTTATAGGGGTTTATTCATGGACACAGCTGATTTTTGAAGTTGTTTCTGAGACTGCCACGAGGAGCATTGTCCTTTCAGCCTGGTCCATGCCTTCTTCCAGTTCTCCTGGAGAGTTATGGGCTCCTTCGCGTGGCACAGATGGATTTGTGCTGGTTTGATGTGAGCGTGTTTAATTCATGCCCTTGGAATTGGAAATATTCTCTGAATCACCCCCCTGAACTGCCTGTGGTTCTGCTGCTCCTCGTGTATCTGTGAAAGACAAACGAGGCCGTGTTTGGGAGCAGTGAGCAATAGGTGAATCACGTGGAACAGCAGCTTCCAAAATACTCTTTGCCACTGCTGAGCAGGGTTTCATAGCTCTGTTCCTGTAAATCTTAATTCATTGCACACTCTTCTGTCAACACTTTTTTCCATGTTATTTACTGAGCATTAAAACCCTTCTGCCTTTGTGGTTTCACCCATGTTTTAGGCAACCATGGCCACTCTGCCTGCTCTGACTGCAGCCAGTGTTTGTGAGTGCTGTTTTAAAGAGAACATTTGGGATTATGGAGTTCCATGCTTTCTTCCTGTAGATCAGGAATACTTTTTCTCTTTGCAATGTTTACACTGAGGAAAAAAAAACATCCTGTAGTGATTGTTTCCCAGTTTCTTGGCTGGGGTTGTCATTTGCCAGGGCTGTTGTGTGTAGTTTTTGAAACAACATAACCCTCAGCATGCCAACTGGAAACAGAGTATTAAAGTAGAAACACACAGTTTTGTTGCATGGTACAGTGAGATGGAATTCTTTCTCTGTCATCTCATAGTTCTGCTGTAACTGAGAGTGGCAGTTTCTACATGGTTCATATGTTTGGTTTTGACCAGGAGAATTTACCACTTTAACAGCAAATACTGAAATACTCTTGGTGCCATCGTTTTCCCTGACTCCACTACCTTGGGGTTTTTTTTTTTTTTGAGCTTTTATTAATCCCTGTGGGGTCTCTAATCCCTTCTGAACAATCTGTTAAGGTGAAGCACTTTGTAAGGGAACTGGGAGCTCCAGTGCTGCACTGTAGGTCGGTCAGAGCTGAACGCTGGAAGTGCCAAAGCTGTCAGGTTTTGGGGGGCTCGCTGAGCTGCATCCTTGGCGGCTCGTTTGGGGATGTCACCAGGACTGAAAGGAGCAGGTGTGTAGCACTGGTTTTAGTTTATCTCGTAATGTTGATGAAGCATTTTGTGTCGTGACAGTCTGTCAACCACATATCTTGTCACAAGTCACAAGACTTAAACCCTTTTTTTATCTTCGAGGCTTCAGGGCTCAGTTTGAAACTTGCACTTTGATGAATACTTAGCTGCTTTTGTCTGGAATAGCTGGAGTGCATTTCTGGAATATTTGTCAAGATTTTATCAGTGTTTACTCCAATTTGAGTACCTAGTGTATTGTAAAACTGGCTTCGGTGAAATCTTAAAGAATTTTATTTAGTTTATGCTCTTTAATAATATAATGAAAACTAATCCTTCACCTGTATGTTTGTTTGCCATGGTAAATCCCACTTATGTCCATGGTTCCTTTTAGTCAGCTTTTACCTTTAAAAACATTTTTGGAAGAATTGTTTCAGGACTTTTTTTCTGTATGATAAATCATTTTAACTTTGACTACTTGTTTTCTTGAGTAGTCTGCCAGGACGGGCTTGGAAACAAACTTTAATCTCTCTTTTAAAGCATTCCATCAGGAACAAGAATTTGCTTTCCATCAAAGCGTTGTGTAAAGCACACTTAAAAGAGAATTAAATCCTTCTGGACTTCGTATCTGAGATCTGTGCAAGGAATAACTGTAGTGGAAAATGTTTAACTGTATTTTTATATTTGCTTCAAAACTGACCATTTTAAGCTAAAATAAGATTTGTGCCAGTATTTGTCAAAATCAGGCCCAGTGGTGAGATCTCTTTCTTTTCTTCTCATCCCTCCCTTTTCCCGTTTTTGGTCAATCTCTAAAGATTAAACAAGCAAATACAAAACATGTAATTGAAACAATTTTCCAGCTCTTTTTAGAACAAAATTCTGTTTGAAAACTACACCAAGATCTTGTGGCTTTCTGCAGCACTTTGCAGCATGGTTTGTTTTCATAATCTCAGAATATTTTGAAAAGTACAGAAAATTAGGAACTGTAAATTACAGTATATCTACAGAATACTAAATTCATTGATAAATGCACCAAAATTCAAGTTATTACCTAAAAGTGAGGGATGTTTTTTTCCCATTTCCAGTTCAGACCTGTGTTTGAGCCATGACCCCTGTGTTGGAGGCGTGCATTCATTGCTGTCACCCCTGTTTTCCAGGTCCAGGATATCTCCTTCAGCCACGACTGCCGCTGGGTGGTGGTCAGCACGCTGCGAGGCACTTCCCATGTTTTCCCCATCAACCCCTACGGAGGCCAGCCCTGTGTCAGGACTCACATGTCCCCACGGGTGGTCAATCGCATGAGCCGCTTCCAGAAGAGCGCGGGGCTGGAGGAGATCGAACAGGAGCTGACGTCGAAGCAGGGAGGACGCTGTAGCCCTGTGCCCGGCCTGTCCAGCAGCCCCTCTGGCTCACCTCTCCATGGTAAATCCACTTTCTTCCTTTCTTTCCATCGGGAGGATAATATGAATTTCATAAAATGAGGTCCTGTAGATATTGTGCAAAAATACATGATGTATGCAGGTACTGCAGGATGAGCTAAGGTGGAAACACTTTGGAAAGACGGTTCTAGTTTTGCAGCTTGCTTTAAGTAAATGATGGTAGCACAGGTGTGGTAAGAATTTCTACTCGAAACTGAAAGGTTGGGGGTCTTTAGGTTTCAAGTTTTGTTTCCATGTACCACACAGTCAGTAAACTGGTCTGTATTCAAATAATTTTATTGACTAAAATTCTCATTGCTCATTGGCCTTTCTGATCACAAAGCACATCTACAATAAATACTGCCCAAGGAGAAACGAAGCTGATGGCACAGATTTGTGTCTGCTTTTTTTGTGTGTGTGGGAACAATGTGACAAATAATGTGTAAAAGTAAAAAAAGTCTGTAAGAATTGATCTGTCCATCCTGTTCCTGTGGTGGATATGCCTTGGAGAAGGATGTGAAGGGGAGCCTCAAAAAATGTTCAAAAATTTTCAATGCCATAGTTTTTCCAGTTTTGTCTTTTCTTTCAGCCTCCCTCTTTCATGAGGTCTGTGCTAGAAGCTGTTTTGTTTGAATTCAGGATTTGCTGCATCCTCATGCCTCCTTTCTGTTAGGAGTAAGTCACAAGTTCCATGGAAGTGAAAGTTTGAATAGCAGTTTGTTTGGGGTAGCCACCCTTTTCCAGTCTGAGAGTATTAAAAATGGCCAGGAACAGTCCCTCTTCCCTAATTATGAGTAGGATTAGGAGCTCTTGTGAAAGCCCAACTTTGTGCTGGGCTTTCTGCTATAGAGAGAACCTTTGTGGGATTTCTGAATCAAAGGAACTCTTTTATGACTTGGTGATTATTAAGGGAATCAGACTTGTCTCAGAACAACCCTATTTTTGCCTTTCTTTGGACTTCTCTGAACAAAAGTTTGTGCGTGGCTGTTCTGGAGCCATCCTCTTCTGCCTGGAGCCACTGGAAGGCACCCAAAACGTGCTCTGAACTTTCTTCCTCCTTGGAGACAGTTGTGTATCTACCATTTCGCTTCCTCTCATCTCTGTACAGCAGCTCAGCTTGAAACGGGCTGGGGAGTGCTCCAAAGGTTTGCTATGGCACATCCAACCCCTTTTAACTGTGGACATCATGGAGAGGAGAGGAAGGAACTTTGAATTTCTGTGGCTATCACCCAGCCAATTCTATTTTCTGTCAAGGGAAGTTGCAGTAAGTCGTTGCCTTTGCAGTACTCTGAGGTACATTTGAAGTTTTGAATAGATTTGACACTTTTTTAAAAGAAGAATCAGCAGTTTCAGGATGCTCAGTGGTGGAGGCAGGAGACAGGCGTGCATGGACGAGTCACTGAGAGAAAGGCAGCAGCTTTTAGGAGAGTGTCTCCAGAGTTCTGGGGCTTCAGTTTGCAATTGTCTGTCTTGAAAGATAATAAATCAGATTTCTTTCAAGATCTCTGTGCAGTCATCACTTCTTGAGCTTGCAAATTAGCTCTGTTTAAACAATCCACTGGAAGTCTGCACATGGGTGCTGAGAATTAAGGCAGGAAGGTGTGACTTTGATTCCTGGAGGACTTCACACAGATTGTGCTCATTACTTCTGCAGTGCAGAAGTTGGACACGTGTTAATGGCTGTGTGTTGGTAACTTGCAAAACTTCATTTGAACATTTTCCATGAGAAATTTGTGGGGATTATTTGAGGATTGAGGAGTTAGCACAGATATCTTAAAAAAATAGGAAATAAAATTGTTGTGTTTGAAAGAGTCCATTTGGCAAAATACTGTAATATTTTCAGTAATTTTATTGCTGCTTTTTCATTTCAATAATCTTTCAGTTCCCCTGGCTGAAGGCAGGCAGGATATTGAACCCTATTCTAAGCTTTTTATAAAAAGCCATTTATCATCGACTTGTAAAAAATCCCTGAAGTTCAGAGAGACTTTCAGCAGAGGGACTCTGTGTATGTGTGTGTGTGTGTGTGAGAGAGAGAGAGCAGGATTACCCAGAGACTGATGATTATTTTAATTTGTGAGCTAAGATGTGTTTACTTAGATTGTAACAGCTCCTTACCGTATTATAATGTTAAATTATTGTTGTTTGGAGGAGTCTCGGCAGTCTGGTGACAGAAGTGTAAACGAGTACTCGAAACAGAAAAGAGCAGTTCTGGGTTTAATTCTTTGCTTTACTTCTAACTCGCTCTGCAACCCTTGGTGAATTTTATTCAGCTGATTTTGTCTGTCAGCTCTCTGCTGTGTGACAACAGTAATAATCTCTGTGTTCCCCCCGCGTGGAATGACTTTAATTTTGTAGCTTTCTTCAAGAAGAATAACTGTTATGTTCCTTAATCACCCCTCTAAGTGCAGCTGATTATAATGGAAATAAAACCAGAGATGTGTCCTGGAGAGCACCATTGCTCTGGGATAAGGTGTTGATTAAGTGACTGATTCAGAGGAGATTGTGGCAAACTGGAGGATTTTTCTGTGTGGAGTCACGTCATCACGATTTTCCTCTTACATCTGACATCAAATTTGTCAATTTTTTGTAAACCCTACATTAAAAAAAACCCTGCTTTTAATATTTCTGCTGATATTCTTTTTGCATTGCAGTATCATTGCTACAACCTTAGTCCAAAAGACTGCGCTGGCTTATCTTCCCTTTTGCTTAGCAATTGTAACTTATTGATGGTTACTTGTGATTAGCTGTTCTTGTAAATATTTTCAGAACTCGGGCTCTGTCATATTTTTCTCACTTGTTTTTTTACCTCCTGGTTTCAAAATGAAACTGTTTGCTGTGTATATAGTAGCAAGGCAATCTATTTACATTGTGTTGGAGCACCCCAGGATTGTTTACCCACACAATGTCAGCCTTTGCTGGGGGTAGGGATGATTTCATTTCCAAATGAATCACTGTTTGGCTTAGCTCTTTCCAGCAGAATGAAATAAACTGTTAAATAGAGGATGATAAAGAGATATTTCCTTTGCACCTTTTATAGCCGACAGAGATTTTGTTTGGGCTGTTCTGTCTGTTAATGCAGCGAGATTGTATTTTTATCATTCCCTTGAATTGCCAGAGCATGTTGTCAGGAATATCTGAGATATGTTGGGATCCTTTTATGGGCTTTTACTATTATAAGACTATTACAACATCGGTTGGTTGTTGGGGTGAACATTAGGGTAAAATATGGCCTTATGTGACCATTTTACTTGTGTAAAATTTGGTTTATGGTCCTTACCTGTCTCACAGGTAGGCTGTGAGGATTAAGGGATGAGTACTTAAAGCAGAGCTACGTCCTTGGTGATGCAAACTTCTCCCCGTTCTCTTCAGGACATCCACATGTGAATAGCAAGGAGCATTTAGCTGTAAAAATACAATGATTTACTTGGAAGGTTGAAAACTACATACAACTCCAATTATTTTAATCCTGAAAATTAAAATTTACAGAATGTTATTACTTCTTGCACCACCAGTTAGTGAAATAAAGTCTCTGTAGCTCTGCTTGCTCAGTTTTTTCTGTTGTTGGCTGCAGGAATTTCCAGTACCAGAACAAATAATAATCCAGTAAGTTAACATTGGGTCTACAGCTACACATCCACACCTACTAAAAATATTCCATAATAATATGATACTCTCTGAATTTGCTTTGCATTTTATTGGGGATTGAAGTATTTATTTATTTGCCAGAAAACCGTTCATAGTACGCCGTGGTTCTGTTTCAGATTTAATACCCATGCTGAGAGGGAGTATATAAATTTAGAATTATGAAAAAACCATGTTGTTTTCGATACAGTGCATTCAGGCTGGTATTTATCTCGTTATAAATATTTTAGTATGGCACGTTTTTCATTGCAAAATCTTTTCTAAGTTTAAAAACCAAAAGGTTTTCTCTTGCTTTTCCTTCATTCGTGACAATAGCAACATGATTAAAATCCAACATAAAACTGCAAGTTTGATAAACACGCAGCCTGAGATGCTTTACATATTTTCACGTTACTTTTCACTATTTCCCAGAGTGAAACTCCTTTTACTAGAAGAATTCTTATGGGAAAGCAGAGTTGAAAGGACTGACATCATCAGCCCTTCCTGAAAAACAGATCGGTTTCCTTTAAGTAACACTCACTTAAGAAACCACCTATTTAGAGAGAGGCAGACAAAAATAGTTTCGAAGAAAATTAACTGTATAATAACTTAAAGCATTGGAGGGCAGTTCTTTCACGAAACTCTGTGAACACGAGCTGAAAACGGTTCTTGGAAAACTCTCTGTTAAGTTTAATTTCTTTCTTTATAGCGTCTCACGATGGAAACAGTTTGCGCAACAGCAGAGGAAGCTGCAGCATCGGCCCGCGTTGTTTTAACGTGCTTTAAACATTCCTCTTTGTGTCATTGTCGTGTTTCTCCACAGCGTAACACACGGCTCTTTTAAAATTTAAGCGTCATTTCAAATAATTCGAAATAATTCCTTTTGTAGCTCCGTTTCTTAGCGCAGATTTCACCCCGGACGCGTCCGCCCGCGCCCGCTCCCTCAGCGCTCCCGCCTCACCCTTGGCGGCCTGCAGGGGGCGCCCTCCCCCCGGCCATGGCGCCTCAGGCGGGGCCGGCCCTAAGGGGGGGACCTGGCGTGGAACCGTCGTAACACGGACAAATGGTGGCGGTGAGGATAAAACCCTCTCTTTTTCACTAATACAGGCACTGAGCTGCTCGTATAGGCGTCATAAATATTTATTTATTTGCAAGTATAAGTCCTCCACATTCTCTGTGCTGCCTGAAGCATCAGGTGATTCTCTTCACACCTTCACCTGAAGTTTCTCTTCACGGTTTTAAGGCAGCTGGGGGAAAAAAACAAGATTAATTTACCTAGTGAGAATTTTCCCCTAATGACTTTTAGAGACCATTCTATGATGCTGTGATGATTCTTTCTTTCTGGAGCAGTCCTGGTGGTGGCGGTGGAAGGTCCCACAAGGG